GGGAAAGTGACATTAATTATATTTTTTATTATTTAAAAATATATAAAATATTAATAAAAAGATATAAAAATTAGTTAAGGAACCAAGTTTTACATTTTAGATTTACTGTACATTGTGTAAAAAATTTGTACAAAATATAAATAAAATTAAACTTTTAATTTGATTCTTAAATTATTATACCAAAATTTTGAGTCAGTTATTAAATTAAAAAAAATTTAATTAAATTTTTAAATTTCTTAAATTTAAATTCAAATTATTATTTTTTTAAATATCTGATGTACGTTATTAGTAATATAACACGTGACCTTTAATAATTGAGCCAATGATATAATTTCACTAGTCATAATAATTTTCCTTTTACTCTCCCTCAGACCCAATAAGAAATGAACACATCATTTTCTCTCCGGTTCTTCCATCACGGCACGTAATTTATTATTATTATTTTTTTCTATAAAAGGACCCTTCATTTTGCCGACTTGAAAAGAGGATTTGTATCCCAATCCTGCCTCTTCCAGTCTCCTTCAGCTTAGCTTACGAAGCCATGGCAGCCGCAAAATTGATGGTGACCGACCTTGCTGCCGTCGTTAAACAGGTACCGACCAACTACATCAGAACTGCCTCGGACCGTCCAAACCTTTCTGATGTTCAAACTTCCGATGCCTCCATTCCTCTGATCGACCTCCAGGGACTCCACAGTCCTAATCGCTCTGATGTCATCCGCCAGATTCGCCGAGCATGCCAGGAGGATGGTTTTTTTCAGGTTCACCTTCCATTGTCTATATTAATTAGACTCTGGTTGCAGACATTTATGACAATCAAACCAACTAATTAAATTTTTTAAAAACCCAATGATCTCCTCTGTTCCAAGAAAGCTATATGTATATATTTGAGTTATTTACTATCAAGTATAGTTAATTTTTTAATGCATTTAAAATATATGTATATATATTTTGAGAGTTTTGAAAATATCTAAATGTCTTGGGATTTCTTATATATAACTATCTATTTCCAGGTCAAGAACCATGGAGTGCCAGAGGAAATGGTCAACAACATGCTACGTTTAGCTAGAGAGTTTTTCCATTTGCCAGAGAGCGAAAGGCTAAAGAATTACTCCGATGACCCTTCCAAGGCAAACAGGCTGTCTACCAGTTTCAATGTCAAGACTGAGAAGTTTGCCAATTGGAGAGATTTCTTGAGACTCCATTGTTACCCTTTGGAAGACTACGTCCAAGAATGGCCCACAAATCCCCCATGTTTTAGGTAATCATTTTCCTGCCTGTTGTTTGAATTATAAATAACTACCATCTGTTAGATGTCATATCAAATATAAATTATTAGCTGTTGATTGTGGTTAATTCACATAGAACTTAAGCTTTTGGGTTGTACAGCCGAATTAATTGCGATTTGGCCGTTAATTTTACAGGAAGGATGTGGCAGAGTATTGTACGTGTGTTAGAAGGCTAGTGCTGGCACTAATTGAGGCCATTTCAGAGAGTCTGGGACTGAAGCGAGATTACATTGATAAGACACTAGGGAAGCATGGTCAACACATGGCCTTGAACTACTATCCACCCTGTCCCCAGCCAGAGCTTACTTATGGATTGCCTGGCCACACCGACTCCAGTTTAATCACAATTCTTCTGCAAGATGACATTCCTGGATTACAGATCATGAGAAATGGCAAGTGGGTTGCCGTTAATCCCATTCCGAATACCTTCATTGTCAACATTGGTGATCAAATGCAGGTGAAAATGAAGAAACGTTTGCTTTTAGAATTAAAGATTTTAGACTCGAGTCACAATAGCAATAGCAGGAACAATTATTCTTTATTAAAATCATAATATGACAATTGAATGCAAAAAAAGATAAACGATTATGAGTGACATACACTGGATATAAGCTAAAAGTTGTGGGGTTAATTAAGCTTCGTTTTTCATTTTTCGGCCACCAATTAAACTCTTTGACCATATTCTAAGTAGTGTTGTTCTTATCTCTAAGTTTCTACAATAAGCGATGCCTTTCCTAATAAATTACTAGTCCGACTTAAAAAAGATTAAAATATTTTTAATAAATTGTTAGTCTGAAATCTGAATTAAGAAAATACTTATTTATTATTCAACAGGGTAATTATATCTTCACAAATACATATATTTCTATCTGTATTGTTAGATTTCCACCAGAAATTAATATTGATTGCAAAAGAAGCAATATATATATA